GTTTCTTTTTATGTTATTGTTATTTTTTTTTTTCTTTTATTTTCTTTCTTCATCAGTATTATTTATTTACTTTTTATATTTATATTTATTTCTCTATTATTTGTATATATTGTTTGAATGAGAACTCTTAGCCCTAATACTTATAGCCCTCCAGTGGCTGATTGTATTATTATTCAATAAATAGATAAAAAAAAATACGACGCAATGGATGTTTATCTGTTTCAATACATGGGTTAATAGTTGTTTTATAATCTCAACAAATCCGGACTGATTTATTTTAACCATTTTTTTTCAAAATTGTTAATACAGGGGAACTTCAGGTGTTGTAACTAACGGGTTCTATCAAACCATTTTTTTTTCTCCAATCAGTCGATCTCCACTTCGACCAACTGTTTCATAGCATGAGGCAATGGTCTCGCTCAAATGAACTTTTGCGTCTGGCTTTAAATTAATACTAATATGACGCCTATATTTTTTTTTCTTTTCTTTTTTTTTTTAATATTACAACAATCTGTCACTTAGAGATTAATTATAGTGAGGTAGGATAACATTCACACTATATGTACAAAAAATATAAAATAAATAGAAGCAAAATAGCAATAATTAATAATAAAAAATTATATACAACAAATAAAGTAAAATAACCTAAAAATAAGAAAATTAAAACTAAGCAAAAAACACATGCATACCTATATACACTATTTACAATCAGGCGAAGGAACTCTGAGGAAGGCTTCTCCCTCCAGCTATGGAGGGAAAAGCTGGATTCCAGAAGAACCCTGCGCTACTCTCTCAACCGCTTCACTGGTACTAAAGCCAATTGTGATTGATGGAGAGCACTAACCCCTATTATAAATGCCAATTTCTTCGGTAAAAACTGTAGGATATTTTATTTCAGCAATACATTAGCCAGTTCGAAAACATTAACCTTTCCATTGCTAATTTTAAATTTAAATGTAAAAAATCAATCTCACTCAATCAATGGTCTCTTGGTATCTACAATGTATAAAGGTTGATCCACCAGAACTTGTTCGTTAAGTTTAACACCTACCATACATCTGCCTAATGGAGAAAACGTTGAGCTACAATAAGTTACCATTTTTTTTAGTCTCTTGCAGTTTTATATGACTAAACTGTTTTTTATATAACTCAACAGGCATCAACGTTTCCCTTCTATTGACAATACGAAATCGAAAGTAGAAATTATTTTACCTCCAGAAATAATGAAGAAGGTTTTTTTTTTCTTTGCTCCACTTCATTTGGCTGACTTTTCCAGCCGGTCAAGCAAAATGCAGCATCCTTCGACAATCTTTCCGTGATAAAATTACTACCTACTTCCTCGCTGTCCATCGCATTTTTTGCTTCATAAAATATATTCGAGATCTTTATTGCCTCGTTTTTTTAAAATTCACAATTACCATTACCATCCCTAACCACAAAAATCAGCGATATAGCTAAAAGGATTTTTTACTAAAACTAACAGGAAGCTAACTACCGGTCTTTCACCATGGCCTAAGTTTTTAAAATTAGCAAAAAACGTGTATTTTTTTTTGTTTTTAACTAATTATCTGTTTATCCATATTACGTAGCTTAAACATGTTTATCTTAGATATCAAATAACACAACATTTACTACAACTATTATAGGAAACATATTTTTCTGAACAACATAACTACAAATCGCTAGTTTTGAAATTTGAAAAAATCTTATATATAATATAGAAAAAAACTTATTGGAAGTAAAAGTCGTCGATTCTCACTGCTGTTTATGGTAACAAGTTTAATATATTTGTCACTAAGGTTAGAAGTTCGTTACAACAATTTGATAAAAGTTGACACAAACTAATGGAAAAAAAGCTATGGTTTCAGTACTTTTGAATGACCATTTATTTATATGACTGATTATTTATAGAAACATACTATTTGGGTGACTAGAACTTAATCACTATTGGCAAAATAAGAGAGCAAGCCCTGAGAAGGTCCATAAATGAAAAGACAAAAAAATTGTGTTAGAATAAAATTAATTTAATTGTTTGTAGGTAACTTCATTCAAATAACTAGAAAAATTAACAAAAAATATATAAGATTTTTATCCAATTTCAAAACTTCCATTTATTTTTAGCGATTAGTAGTTAAGTTTTTTGAGAATGGGATGGTCGATCACATTGGGGCGTGGGTCCCAGAGTGCCCGGTTTTAAACATTGTATGTTCGATTCCCACCTGGGTCGGTTATACACGGTGTGCCAGATCCCCTTACTGTGCACCCTCTCCCCCACATCTCTATAAATTACATATCGTTGTTTTCCTTGTAACTATTTATTAAAAAAAAGCCAATGTTCCCACAAAAAAAGTGAACGCACTGCCCCAAAATGGCGTCCAAAGATGGCGGATTGACGACTTTGACTTTAGTTAGTTTTTTGGTCACTAAGAATCAGAATTTTTCTCACTTTCCTCATAGTTGGGCTTTTATTAAAGCTGAATAGTCATAGAATAATAAAACATGAAGAAATACTATAAAATAATTGGCTTAGGCTATGAAAAATACCAGTAAAGTCAATTGTTGTAACAATAAAATTTTCAAGTTACAAATCAAGCGTCGTTTGTAATTAAACGGCCTACAATAACGCAAAACGTGCTGAAATAAAACATCTGGAGAATATATTTCTCTTTCTAAAACGCTGATTTGAAAAAAAAAACTTTAAGCAGTTCTATAGAAATTGCACTTATGCGGCAGAAAAGCGGTACTGGCGTGGGTGCCTACAGGCCTCTAACACACCATTCATTGCTCATAAATGGCTTAGTTATTGTGATATAATAACATTTTTGGTACATTATATTGGTTTTATTAACGAACAAATATTAATGCAATAATTTAATTGTAAAAAAAAAATGTATTATTATTTTTTCTTAATTTAACCTCCCTTATTCTATATGTAGTTAGTTTAAGAAGACCTCAATGTAAAATTGATATAATTATAATAATAAAACTTAATTAAAAAATATCTTGATTTTTTTTTTATTTAACGTTTACAATTTAACACTGTGTTTTGTATATTTCCTGATTCTTAGAGGTAATTAAAATTTTTATATACTCCCCTAGAAATGAGTCATATTAATACCTGTTTTATAAACTAAAATAATATACTGTTCTTCCCTGGTTTGGAAGTCCCTCTGGATTGAATACAAACAAAAATATGGTTCCTTAAAAAAAATCATACTTTTAAAATGTTTTCCCTTCAAAAATTCAAAGTTCGGTATTAGAGTCCAGTGGAGACTGAGTCAGGGCACTAAAGCAACAGACGCTCATGGCTTGAGTGTAGAAGCTGACCATTGCCAGTAATCCAGTGACGTCTTTACAGAAGATCTCGAGGTCACTGCCGTTTCAACCTTCTAGAAGGATTATAGTGATGACTGGGGCTGTATAAGGATTTTGCTAATGGATTCGGATGGTGGATTAGGTTCAAGTGAAAATTCGAGAATTGGGATGGAATAAAGTCAAGTATGTAAGGAATGTAAAGGTCTTGATTTAAGGTTTTGTTCGTAACACAATAAGAAGTATTGCTTATTAACGACTTTAGACTGGAAAGTTTGGATGCGTTTGATGATCGAAAATTTAATTGTCCCTCACAGTTCAAGTCAGTAGGTCCAGATGGGTTTTAGTATGGTCTTGTACATTAATAGTTTGTTTTCAATTGAGAGATTAGATTTTCAGTTAAGTAGTCTGAATAACTGGCCAAATTTTCGGTTAACTTCTTGTCTTTTCTGTCTGGTATGAGGGTTCTATGTTAGTCTTTTGTGAAAAAAGGAATCCAAGATACCGAACTCTGTGTTTGAGACGGGAAGAGGTACAGAGTTGAAAAGGATAGGTGGACAGGATCTGCGTCAGAGGGTAAAGGTGACATGCTTACATTTGGATTCGTTAACTTTGATTCGTCAATTGTTGCACCACTGCTAAATCAGATGTGTCTTTGTAGGTTTTAGGATCTGGGTGGGATGACGGTAACATCAGCGTATGTTGCTAGAAGGGTATCCGGATTGGTTGGGATGTCAGTGGTGAAGAGGATGTAGAGAACTGGGACCAAGACACCGCCTTGTGGAACACCAGCCTCAACTGGATAATAATTGGAGACTTCAGTGCCGCAGCGAACTTGAAAGGAACGATTTGAGAAGTAGGGACAAGGACAGGTTTTGAGCTTGAAAAGCAAATCACCATGCCACACTAGGCCGAAAGCTTGCGCTAAGTTCAGAAAGGCACCAGATAATAAAGACTAGAAACTAATTTAATTACTTACCTTTGTCCAATGATGGGAATATTTCGTCACTAATGTAATGTATTACAAAAATATCTAAACTCAACACTAACACTAACGTACATTTTTTAACATTTATGTTAACACAAAATAAATCAAACCAGCTTGTTTTCTGTTCACCAAGTTCATGCCCACAAAAAAAAAAAAAAAGAAAAAAAAAAGTCGATTACTATTAACTAAAAATAAAATCAATAATAAATCCCAATGACAAAAATTAATTAATATGTAGGATATAATAAATAGAAACACGTAATTTATTGTTATATATTTCTAAAAAAATGTAATAACAGTTCATCTGCTACTTAGAAACATATAATTATACATATTATTGTCATTTGTATTCGAATTATTGTCATTAATTATTTTATAGTGTTTTATTTAATATTGACACTAAGTACCTAGTATAAAGAAAAAAAATATAACATGTATCAATCGAGTACATGCAGAAGAAAAGGTATATTTTATCCAATGAGATAATTTGATCTCATTATTATCACTAAAGAATAAAAAAAGAAAATAGTTATAGAAAATTAAATATCTAAATCTTTATAATGGATTATAAACTTTATGAAATCCTCATTCATGACAAACAATGCTTGTTAAATATCATGTTGAATCACTTATCACAATAAATATAATTTTGCTGAAATTTAAGTTGGTAACTACAACATAGTTGCCCAACTTTTACAGCTTACGCTTTGGCTTCTTGTCTTCTCAGTTTAGGTGGGACAAGAGCAGTAAGAGCAAGACCTACCCCAAGAACCGCGCAGAGGCTGTAGGTTGCGTCACCCACGGAGAAGCGACCTATCAAAGCGCTGTACCCGCTCGTCAAGGCCAACCCGAAGATCTGAGTCGCACCATTCAGTATACCGACAGATGTACCTGGAAAAATACATTTTTCTTTAACCAAGTGTTTACATTTTTATTACAACTTTATTTTATAATATGTATATATATATAATTAAACTAAAGGAAAAGTAAAATAAAATAAGTGGTCTTGCGACGCCCCTTCGTTTGACCACTCCTGATGAAGCCCTAAACTATAGGCCGAAACGTTGGAAAAAATGAAAGTAAATATAATTATTTATATTATATATAATTATTTATATTTATATAACCGTCTTCTCAATTATTCCCTACAGTCAACCATCAAGCCACAATAGTAAAATAAAATATATTTTTAATTGATTTTAAGGTATTAAGGTATTTTATTTTATTTTATTATATTGTAAATGTGGTATGTGCCTTACAGCTTTAATACTCAGTACCCTTAAGTGTGGTAAAATGTATTATACCTCAATAGAAAGATTAAATATGGTGTGAATGTGCTCTCTGAACTCTATTATAAATGTGTTTTACTGAGACAGATTGTAATATTTATGAATAAACAAGTAATTTATAAAAAAAAGATGAATACCAACTTTAAAAAGTATTTTTTCATTTATTAAGATTTATATGAAGGTGTATATATATATGTCATATTTAATAATAATTACCTAAAAAAAATCCCGTCGTCTCAGAGAACATTCCCATAAACAGAGGAATATTTTAGAGGGAACCGTTAAGCCCTTTATAGTTCTGCCTCGCCATTAATCCTCCAAGTTCTATTTTAAATTAACTGGAAACGTTTATTCCATGAATCAGGAAACAATAATTTCTCACTCTTTTTATATGGATGACTTAAAGCTCGTGAACGAGAGAGACATGAGAACTCTTGCTCAGTTGGTAAGGTCATTCACTGAAGATATTGGGATGAAGTTAGGAACAGGCAATATGCATCCCTTAACGTCCACAGAGGATTCAGCTAATATTGAACTTAATAATGGTGATGTCATGAAGCAACTTCAGTTAACTGACTCCTACATGTATCTTTGTATCTCACAGCTGCTTAAATTCAAAGAAAAGGTCAAAGAAACCTTTGAAGAAGAATTTAAGAAACAAGATACTCCTAAAACTAATTTATCGGCAGGAGATTTAGTAAAAGCCTTGAATACCTGGGCGAGTCCTGCTGTTACATATTCCTTTGGAATAATAAAATGATGCGACACGGATTTGGAAAAGATGGACCGCTTATTAAGAACGGAAATGATAAAATCACGGCAACGTCGCACAAATTCTTCAGTGCTAAGACTATATTTGGCTAGAAAACATGGATTTAGAGGACTTATTAAGAAGGCAGAGGATCAGCTGAAGCGAAGGTTGTCTCCTCAACTCCTCTCTCAGTTTTTGCCTATTTTATAGCGGAATCTCTCTGATTATTCACTTAATACAGTTAAAGTGTATATGAGAGCAGTTGATATTTACTGTTGGCATATTTTTTATTGTTATTTAAAAAAAAAAATTGTTTTTATTTTATTTTATTTTTTTTCTCTTATGATATGCGGTATGATCAGCAAGTGATGGCCAGTAAGGTGCCCAAGAGGACTCGGGCAGACGGCGTTAGTACACCACGTGGTTCACCAGCCAAACAAAAGACTCGTCGCTGCCTACGAGAAATAGTTCCAGTGACCAAAATGAACACTTCAGAACCAGAAACTCAGCCCCAACCAGGTACGTCTTCGCAAGAAATGAATGAAGAATCGCCTTTCTTTACTCCAAACACCTACCAAGTGCTTCAAAATGACCGAGAAGTAATGGAGTCTGCAGCAATACCCAGAGAACCAAAGCCTCCTCTGATATTTGTGAAAAATATCAAAAATTTCCAGATGTTCTACACCCAACTAAATAAAATCTGCTCTGGCAGTTATTCATGCCTTAACAGGACCAATGCACCAAAATAATACCTGATTCTGCTGAAGCCTACCGAAAAATAGCGAAGTACTTATCATAAACAAATGCGAATTTTCACACTTACCAGCTGAGGCAGGAAAGAGCGTTACGAGTAGTGATAAAAAAATTACACTCCTCAACCCCCACTGAAGTTATTAAAGAAGAACTAACGACGCTTGGTTTCAATGTACGCCAGGTAACAAACGTTTTGAAGGAGGGCAGGGAGCAGCCAGGATTACGAAATAGGATACCACTACCATTGTTTTTCGTGGACTTGGAGCCATCACCAGGTATCGAAAAAATATATGATATCACAAGAATATACTACACAATGGTGAAAGTTGACAAGCCATACCCCAAGAGAGACATCGTGCAGTTCCATAATTGTCAGACCTATGGCCACACGAAGACATATTGCCACCATCTGCCGCGTTGCGTGAAGTGCGGTGAACAGCACAAATCTGTAGAGTGCACCAAACCTATACAAGATCCAGCAGTATGTGCCCTATGCTTGGAGGGACACCCGGCCAACTACAAAGGCTGCCAAATTTACAAGAATCTCAAAACCAGACACCAGAAAAACCGGATTCAAGATGAAGCACTAAGAACAAGAAGAGAGAGAGAGCCTTCCAGAATTGTAAACAATGATGTATCATTCTCCCAACTACTTAGAGGTAAGACTTTAACCGATAAATGTCAAGCCCTGCCACAACAACAACCTCAACCCCAACCTCAAAATCCTCTTCATCCTAATATACCTAACCACCAACAACAAATTCCTCATATTCCTCCTCCTTCAAATGCAACAGATCTCACAAGTTTGTTAGCATCTTTCCTCACCGATTTCAAATCCCTTGTTACTCCACTCATATCACTCCTCACGAATCTCGTATCTCACCTCATCCCTCCTTTGAAAAATCCTTAAATGACTCACATCCCTAAACCCATATCCATTCTCCTTTGGAATGCGAATGGTGTTAGAAATCATACAGACGAACTATCTACTTTACTACTTGACAAGAACATTGATGTGGCACTAATTACTGAAACTCGACTAACCACTAAACAGCACTTCAATATACCACAATACCTGACATATCGTACTGACCACCCTGACGGAAAAGCACATGCCGGTACTGCTGTAATTGTACACCAATCCCTCTCCCATCACGTACTCCCATTACCAATACATGATTTCCTACAGTCCACCGCTATCGTGATAAAAACCTTCTCCTTTCCGGTCACTCTTGCATCAGCGTATTGCCCTCCTAACCGATCCATATCCAATGCCCAATTCAGTTCTCTCCTCGACTCCTTAGGACATCACTTCATCTTGGGTGCAGACCTAAATGCCAAGCACCAACAATGGGGTTCCAGAACCACGAATTCTCGTGGCCGAACCCTGCTGTCTGCACTCAATTCCCAACGTTTTCACCTCCTTTCCCCCAACTCTCCTACCTACTGGCCCACAGATCCCAACCGTAATCCTGATCTTCTTGATTTCTTTATCCACAGCGGCTTAAGTCCCCTCAATTGTTCCATTACACGTCTAAATGAACTTTCCTCTGACCATAGTCCTCTAATCCTTAATGTTTCACTTGAACCTGTTCCCAAACCTTCTCCACCGTCATTCATTAGGGGCCCAGTAAACTGGACCTTTTCCGCCAAATAATCTCCGATAATATTGATCTCAACATATCCCTCAAAACTCCCGATGACCTTGATAGTGCCGTAAATTCCTTTACTACCACAATCCAACAAGCCGCCTGGACTGCCTCCTTTCCAAAAGACTCCTCCAGAATTCCTATAAAGACCATTCTACCCCAACACCTCCTTAACCTAATCCGCACCAAACGCCGTGCCAGATTATTATGGCAACGTACCCGACATCCTACCGACCGCTGCTCCTATAATTACTACTGCAAACAATTAAAACTGGAATTAGCCACCTTCAGATCACAATCCTTCAACTCCTACCTATCCTCCCTCTCTTCTCGCGACAATTCCCTTTGGAAAACCACAACAAAAATCCTAAATCCTCACCGCATTTCCCATCCTCTCCGACGAGGTGATGGCTCCTGGGCAGCATCTGACGAAGATAAAGCTGAGGAGTTCGCCATTCACCTATCCAATACATTTATTTCACATCCGGAATCCCATCCTGCCCACACCGTAACAGTAGAAGAACTCCTTACATCACCAATCCCACTTTCCTTGCCCCCAAAAGCTATTCATCCTTCCGAAGTAAAATTTCAATTAAAAAAACTAATCCTCCGTAAAGCTCCTGGACATGATCTCCTTACACCTCAAATCCTTCGACAACTTCCATCCAAAGCAGTCATATTCCTTACATATATCTACAATTGTATCCTACGCACCACCCACTTCCCTCTGTTATGGAAACACTCCACTATTATCCTTTTCCCAAAACCAGGAAAACCTCTCAATAGCTCAACATCCTATAGACCAATCAGCCTACTCCCAATCCTTTCAAAAATTTTTGAAAAGATCCTTTTGAAACGAATTTCGCTCTCAACATTCTACTGTTCAACAAGGACTCCGAGTTGTTGATCATATTTCCTCAGCCCTAGAAAACAAGGAATACTGTTCGGGTGCCTTTCTGGACATTGCACAGGCATTTGACCGGGTATGGCACTCCGGACTGCTCTCCAAGCTTAAAATCCATTTACCTCAGTCCTTGTACCTAGTCCTCCGATCCTACCTCTTTGACCGCTCCTTTCGAGTTCGCTGTGGAACAGAATTTTCCAATATCTACTCCGTTAAAGCCGGTGTTCCCCAAGGCAGCGTCTTGGGTCCCGTGCTTTACATCCTCTTTACTGCTGACATCCCTGTTCATCCCGATACTTTCCTTGCAACATTCGCTGACGACACCGCAATCTTATCATCCAACTCTGATCCCGAAATAGCATCCTTAAATCTCCAAAGCCACCTCACCTTGATTGAGCACTGGTGTAATAACTGGCGAATCTAAATGCCAACATATTACCTTTACACTCCGACGCAATTCCTGTCCACCAGTACTCTTTAATTCCATCCAGCTTCCTTATTCAGACACAGTCCGGTATCTTGGCTTTCATTTAGACCGAAGACTAACTTGGAACCCGCATACTAGACTCAAAAGACAAGAACTCAACCGACGATACGGCCAACTATACCGACTACTAAGCAGAAAATCTAAACTTTCCATTGAAAACAAGCTACTGATCTACAAGACAATACTGAAACCTATTTGGACTTACGGACTAGAACTGTGGGGATCAGCAAAATTTTCTAACATCAAGCGCATCCAATCCTTCCAGTCTAAAGTCCTTCGAACAATAGTCGATGCTCCTTTCTATGTAACCAACAAAACCCTACATCATGACCTCAACATCCCATTTGTCCTAGACCTTATCCCAGAAAAATTCTCCAAATTTCACCAGAACCTTACTTACCACCCAAATCCTCTTGCACAATCCCTATCAAGCATCTCCCATCCCTATAATCCTCCAAGAAGGTTGAAACGGCAGTGGCCTCGCGACCTTTTGTAGATTATATAAATTGGAGTTCTGGCAATGGCCAGATTCTTCACTCAAGACATGTGTGTATGTGGCTAAAGTGCTCTCGACCAATCTCCGCTGGCTTTAGTACCAGTGACGCGGTTGGGAGAGTAGCGCAGGGTTCTCCTGGAGTTCCCTCGCCTGATTGTATATAGGTATGCATGTGTTTTTTTTTTTCTTAGTTTTAATTTTCTTATTTTTTAGGTTATTTTATTTTATTATCTATTGTATATACTTTTGATTATTATTTTGTTCTATTTATTTTATTTTTTTGTACATATAGTGTGAATGTCATCCTACCTCACTATAACCAATGTCCAAGAGACAGATTGTTATAATACTCAATAAAAAAAAAAAAAAAAAAAAAAAAAAAAAAAAAAAAAAAAAAAAAGGGGGGACTTATTAATGAAGACCTGCCGTAAAGAAGAAGTCAGGCCTAGGACCTACTTCATGAATAGTACATTATCGGTGCTGTCAACCGTTGCTGCTTTTGACCGCAACTATACAGCACTGAATATGCTTCGGCAAGAACCAATGACAATGCCAACTGAGGAGAACCTCACAGAATCATGGAAGTGTAGATCACTTCATGGAAGATTTTACAATTCCCTGAAAACACCTGGCATAAATTTAGAAGCCTCAGTCCGTTGGTTGACTACATGAAAAATGTACCCAGAGACAGAGGGATTCCTTCTGGCAATATAACAATAGGTAATGGCAACATCCTCCTACAGGAAGTATATTCTACATGAAGCCATCGATGAGAGATGCCGTCGATGTAAAGCCACAAATGAATCGACTCAACATATTACCTCTGGCTGCCAGGCATTAGAGGGTAAAGAATACCTTGCGGGACACAATGAGTCAAAAATCGTGCATTAGGCTCTGGCACAAAAATATAAATTAATAACGAGGCATAAGTTTTTTTATGGTTATCAGCAGCAAGCCATATTAGAAAAAGGGAAGGTCAAGCTGCACTGGGATCAAACTATGAAAACTGACCATAGTATTCCCTACAATAGACCAGATATACTGCTCGTTGAAAAAGAAACAAAGAAAGTCATCATTATCGAAGTTAGAGTTCCTGCTGATGATAATGTAGCTAAAACATTAACTGAAAAAAATCAAGTATCAAGAGCTATGCGAGGAATTAAGGCAGTTATACCAGCTGGTGGAAGTAAAAGTACTACCTATTATTGTATCCAGCAATGGCCTGATTCCTGAAGAGACTCTAAAATCAATGAAAGTAATCTTGGGTTAAGATGGGAATTTCAGGAAATCCAAAAAGCGGTAAAGCTGGGAACAGCCAGCATTGTTCGAATTTTTTTAAATATTTCAAATTAAATATTCATTGAATTGTACCCTTGACCACGGTCCGGGTCAATGAATTTATCCGGCATACAGCCGAGAATTGAAAAAATAATGATAATCATTTATTTATTCTGGGACGAATCCCTTTAGAATGATTAACAAGGACAGAAATGTTGACTTTTAACCCTCAGATATATATAAATGTATTTACTAAGTAAACTAACAGATTTAATCGAAAAAAAGTTCTTAATCTTCTAAATTAAATCGCTTAAGAAGAAAAAAAATGAAAGAACAAGGAATTGAAAATAAGCTAATAATATATATACATATTCATAGAAATTTCTATTTACAATTTTATAGGAACTTGATGGAAAGGAAGTGATTGCATTGCCGGGATTTAAAAGCAGGGAGAGTATTGGAGGGACGGATTGAGTTCCATAGGGATGAGGATCTAATAATAAAAGATTTATCGATAGCAGATGTTCGGTGGGCCATTATATATAAATCTGAAGACCGGGAATGGATATTGCGGGAGTGGACAGAGGATTTAAATTGAAGAAGCTCGGAGATGTATGAAGGACGGCTGGAGTGAATGATTTGGAAGTTGAAGGATAGAGCCAATTCAAATGTTCATAAAAACAGGAAACAGGGACGTCCGTTGGGATCCCGAAAATGAATCGTACAAAGCAATTTATCAAATGTTTTAGTTTCGACTCGAAATCCCCGAAGACGCCTCCATATACCGTGCAGCAATAGTCAAAGTGGGGAAATATTAAGGAGGTGACCAGGAGGCTACGGGTTTCAAAAGGTAAAAGATGGCGGAGTCTATTTAAATGTTTTAGGGTGAAAAAGGTATGTCGAGAAATATTGGATACATGGTTTTTCTAGGAAAGGGTTTGATCAAAGATTATTCCAAGATTTTTTATGGCAAGATAAAATTTGATAGGATTATCTTGTAGGAACAGGGTTGGAATGTTAGGAACAGTTTTAAGGAGGTGATATGAGCATATTAGGATTGCCTTTTTCTTTTCCGCATTCAACTTCATCTTGTCAGCTCCTGCCCAGTGATATATTCTATTTAAGTCTTCTTGAAGCTTTTTTGTGGCCGCTAATAGGTCAGAAGGGGGGAATGACAGGTATATTTGGAAATCGTCAGAATTGATGTGATATTGGGTGTGATAGATCAGGAGGAGAAGGTAAATTATAGCAAACAGAGTGGGAGATAACGAGGAACCCTGAGGGACACCACAGGAGAGGGGAAGGAACATACGTTTCTTAATTAAAATGTTATTAAATATGATTTACGTCTATGCTAACCTTCTGGTTCAGGATATGTCAGCTCAGCTGCCAGTTCGAAACCAACTGGCAAGTAGCCCGTCATAGCGAATCTATAAAATAAATAAATACTTAAAAAAAATATAAAAACAAATTTGAAGTTAATGAATAAGAGCTGCTGACAAACCATTACCCCAAGAATCCCAAAGTGAAGTAGACTATGTAGATATTATAACCTAAGCTGACAGTGTAAATTACCATTCCTAAGAGCGATAGAAAATAAACCACGACGGTTGTCTCTCTAAAAAACAAAAAAAAATCATTAGCTTTATTAGAAGATGTAAATTTACTTGCACTTATTTTTTATAATTCGTATATTCTTTAATTTGGAATTTTAGCATAAGTTGCTTGATATTGTTGACCGCAGATCAGGAAGGTATAAATGAAATCTTGCTCATACTAAACGTTAACGAACACATGAAGCAGAATATTTATGGATCAAGTAGAACTGAATCAACTAAATTAAAGATCAACAGAAATAAATTATGTTATTATAACAAGTTACGTATGAACATCAATATAATTACTTGAATTTGTGGGTCCAATCTAGCACCAATCCACAGACAACTGATCCCAACATTCCTGAAATGACCATTAGAAGACCTAATCTACCAGCATCTTCTTCAGCTTTCTAAAATAATACATCTTAATATTAATACTGTGCCAGAGAATAATGTTTTCCAAATCAGTTTACCTTATGTATATCAGTTGGAGTTCGGCTCGAGCCGGTGAGAGAGACAGATCGGCTTCAAGTCATTATCGTTCATGATTGGGTATTTTTCGTCCTATCGAGCTGAAATTTTTCACGTAGACGGATCTGCATGCTAAAGAGCTGCTTATGAAATCTTATGAAAATTAAGCGAGGATATTGACCAGTACTAGAAGGTGCCGAAGGTGATGTATTTGTGGGACCGAGTAGCTTGTCTCTTTGCAGCATACAAATTTCAGGCCCCCGCCACTTCTCAGCAGCCACCTTCTGACAGGTCAGTCCCGTGTTATCGATACCAGCTATCATCGATGGAGCCCAATCAATTTTATTGTTAACTGGTTTATATATTCGATCCTTTTCTCTCATTATAAAAAATATATATAAGTATATATATATATATATATATATATATATATATATAAGTTATGGTTAGATGTAAGTTGATATATTATTTAATCCTATTCAACAGTTGTAAACAAACCGTAATGCTATATATATAGCATTACGGAGAGAATAAAGTCAGTCTTATTTGAGCAGCCACGTGTTTTATTACGAACCTTTCTTTCTTTTTTTTATCTTTCTTTGTTCGAGCCGACGTAAGTGGTGCCGAAACCCGGAAAGTTTTAAAATTTAATTTTGAAGTTGTTTTTTATTCTCTCTTTTTATTCACGTCGTGGAAATAAATAAAAGAAAGGATGCCGAACGGAATAGGTCAACCGCCAGTACGTCAACCGCCAGTACCGCCTACACCACAGGCAGCACAACCGACTGCGCCACCGGCGGCACCGTTGGCTCCGCCGCCAGCGTTTCCTACGTTGTCAGAAGCGTTAGCGAGGGACTTTCCTCCGCTACCTACGGAAACATTAGCGTCAGCACATGCGACGACGCTGGAATGGCTGAAGGTTAGAACGGCGACATCGCAGGACCTGAGGAGAGCTATATCTGATTTAGAAAGATTTGATGGAGGAATAGGTGAGTTGAATCACTTTCTAAAGGGAGGCGATCGGGTGATATCGCGTATAGCGGCTAAAGAAGGGGAGAACTTAATAGATCCGCTGGATGCCAACGCATTGAGGGCAGCCTTGGTATGCCGGGTTAAGAGGAGTGTGCTGAATATGATCCAGGCGGATGAAGACACCCCATGGAGCATCGTGAAGGATAGGCTGAAGAAGGCATTTGGAGGGGGCCGTTGGGCTCCAGAAGAAGACATCTTACAGATGTTTCGAGAGAAGAAACAGCCGTATCAGACCAACGGACAATATGCAGCAAACCTGTTGGCACGATTCAACAATGTAACTGAGAAGACGAGGGAAGTAGCGGATGCGGTGGAAACAGGAGCAAGAATGGCGTTCTTGGCAACCATCCTTAAAGTGCAGCTGGGTAGAGATACGGGAAAGAGGGACGGACTACCTAGAGACAAGAGTTTTGTGGAGTGCGCCCAGGAAATGATTGATGCAAGCGCGCGGGAGGAAGAAGCAGCCAGGGGAGAAGAGGAGAATGAGAATGGGTGGAACCGAGTATCGTACAGGAGAGCGGAAACCGGAAGATTTAAAACGAGACAGGAAGGCTGGAAGAAAAGAGGAGGAGAAGTTAGTGCAAGAGAAAGAACGGCGATGAGGGAGAGAAAGCCAGGGAAGGAGAGAAGGAAATGGACAAAGGAGGACAGGAGATGCCACGGGTGCGGAAAGATAGGTCACCTAGTGGCGAATTGCCCGCGAACCCGATGTTTCGAATGCGGAACTGAGGGGCACATTGCCAGACAATGCCCGTATATGAGTAGACGGGGAGAAGTGGGCCGAGATGAGCCGATGGAAGTGAACGCCCAGAGATTGTGGAGGAAGAGAGGAGCGGCATCGGAGTCGGACGATTCGTCGGGAACATCTGGAACCGAGGAGGAGGAGCCGGTGGTAAGAGGAGCTCGAGGAGGCAGAATTAGCAGAAAGAGTGGAGAAGGGGGAGCCGTCGCGGACAGGAGAGGAAGATCAGACGAATGAGGAGAGGAGCAGAGGGGAGGCAGCCACGCGGTAGTAAATAATATTGGAGGTGAGTGCGTTGGTTTGCCAATTATAAGTGTTGTGGGGAAGGGAAAGTGTCTGGTGGATACGGGAAGTTCTAATACAATAGTATCTAGACAGATGTTGGAGGAGTTGTGTAAAGGAGAGAGGATACCGAGAATAAAAAAATGTACGTGTAGGTTGATTACTTTGGGTGGTCCATGTAGGATAGAAGGGGAAGTAGAATTAGATTTAGACAAATGGGTAACAGGAAGTGGAAAGTTGAGGGTTCATGTAGTAGAGAATATGCCGAGAGAATACGGGGGTATAATAGGATGTGACCTATTGAGTAGAGTGAGACCAAGAATAGATTACAGGGGAACGGGTTGGAGGGTGCGAATGGGAGGGAAGAGGTACCGGTGTAAGAAAGGGAGAGTGGGAGAAAAGGGAACATTGGGGCAATAGAACAAGCGGAACATTGGGTACAAAGGATAAAGAGGGAATACGCGGATATTTTTTTTAAAGAGGGGGAGGTGTTGAGCGCAACGGGGAGGACGGCACATGAGATTCCGTTAAAACAGGAAAAGGTGACGTACGTGAAGGAGCGACGTTACCCACAGGCTTTACGTCGCCATATCAAGGAGGAGCTAGAAAGTTTGAAGAAGCAGGGCATCATCGTGGACAGCACGTCACCGTACAATAGTCCCCTGTGGGCGGTGAAGAAAAAGACGTCGTCGGGAGAGCAGAAGTACAGAGTAGTGGTAGACTTCAGAAAGCTCAATGACAACACCCTAGACGAGAAGTACCCGCTTCCGCGATTTGATGATATTATTGACAGGCTTAGTGGGGCAACCATTTTTAGTACTTTGGATTTAAAGGCGGGCTACCACCAAATTCGTATGAACCCCAGGGATCAACACAAAACGGCGTTTTCTTTCGAGAGGGGGCATTACGAGTTTACTCGGATGCCATTTGGTTTAAAGAACGCTCCCATAACTTTCCAGAGATTTATGGACGAATTCTTGAGGGGATTGGATGAAGAATTCTGTCAAGTATACATGGACGATCTCTTGGTCTTTAGTAAGGATGAAGAGCAACACGTTGATCATTTGGGGCGCGTATTCGACAGATTACGGCAATTTGGGTTGAAATTATCAGTGGAAAAGTCGATTTTGGGACAGGACCAGATAACCTTTTTGGGACATTCCATTTCGAAGGAGGGGATCAGGCCCGATAAACAGAAGGTCGAGGCAATACAGAATATGGCGATGCCCAGGGATGTAAAAGGTATCCGCAGGTTATTGGGAACACTAAACTATTACCGTCGGTTCGTGCCGGAAATGGCGGAGTATTTAGCACCTCTTAATAACCTTCTGAAGAAAGGCCGGAAGATAGCAATAACGCCAGCAATAGAGGACAATGTAAGAAAGTGCATGGCAAGGTTACAAGATAAGCCGGTACTCGCTTTTCCCGATTTTACGAAGACATTTGTCATCACTACGGATGCGAGTGAGTATGCGTTGGGGCGGTACTTGCTCAAGAAGGAAGTAATGGGGAACAACCGGTAGCATATGCAAGTCGGCGGCTTACAGACGCGGAAACGCGGTATAGCGCCCTGGAGAGGGAACTCTTGGGCATAGTATGGGCAGTAGGGCATTTTAGGCCATATATTTTTGGCAGAAAATTTAAAGTCCATACCGATCACAGACCGCTGCAATGGGTTGGTAATCTGAAGGAATCGTCAGCAAGGGTCACTCGGTGGAAGCAATTTCTAAGCCAGTACAATATGGAGGTCATGTACAAGCCGGGTAAGGAAAATGTGGTAGCGGACTGGCTGTCCAGAGCCATCATGATAAATGCCATCGAGGAGGAAGAAGGGGAGTCGTCGAGGGACGTGCGGCAGTTTTTGAGAACGTGGACACCGGAAGGGGAAGGGGAACCCGGGGATGTGGGAGCAGAGGAGTCGAGAGGAGAAGAGAGCTCGGTAGACGAAAGGCCTACAGACATGGAAGAATGTGAGGAGATCATCAACGACAAGCGACGACAGGTCATTTGGAAGACCAGAACGTCGGGGCTCATGAAGATCGACTTCAGTAAATACGGCAAGAAGAAAATTAACACCATTTGGTCCCAACCAGGGGTGAAAGAAGAAGAGATTTGTAAAGCCTTGCACGACGCTTCAGAGTCAGGAAAGATTTACCATTTGTATGTGGGCAATGCGACCGTCTGGGAGAAGATCAAAAAACTCTGGAGAGCAGAGAAAATAGGCGTCGATAGGTCGTTCATTAAATGCAAATACCTAGTTGAAACGTTGATGGACAAGGAGCAGCAAAAGGAAGTAACACTGGCACATCACCAGGGCAAGACCAACCATAGGGGAGAACAAGAGACGTTTCAAGCGTTGCGCAGAAGATATTTTTGGGATGGCATGAGGAAGACAATTGCCGAAATCATTGGGAGATGCGAAGTGTGCGCGCGCACTAAATACGATAGACGGCCACCTCAAGGATTACAGGAGGAAACCCCTACGGGAGACATGCCATTGAAGGATGTGCAAATTGATACATTTACGTGGAGGGGGTTTAAGTGGATTACAATGATCGACCTCTTCAGCAAGGTAGCAATTACACATCAAGTACGAGACAGGTTGTCGGATGCGGTTGTGGGGGCTCTACAAACGTGGGCCCAGTTCTACGGAGTGCCTGATCGCATAACGTCGGACGGAGGGAGGGAGTTCGACAACAGTACCGTACGTGAGGAGGTTAAACGATTGGATATAGATTGGCATTTTAATACTCCGGGGCATACAAAGGGCAGAGGAGATATCGAGAGGTTGCACAGCACTTTAAGCGACCACCTACATATTTATCAAGGGGAGCAGGGATTGGAATGGGATGTAGCCATGAAAAGAGCAGTATCGGCTTATAATCATTCCATCCACTCCGTTACAGGATTTTCTCCGGTCGAGGTATTGTTTGGAGTAAATATACGGCGACGGGATTGGATGGAAACACTCACGGACGAAGTACAAGCTCAACGGATCACTTGTAACAGAGCAGAGATAAAGAGAGTGTGGGAAAAAACAAGAGCGAAAATAGAGCGTGAAAAACGGAAAAGGGTGGAGAAGGCCAATCTGAACCTCAAGGACAGAATGGGGGAATTGAAGATAGGGACGACGGTCTATCGTAGGGTGGGCTCTAATAGGGGGAAAGAACTGGCACGCTACGAAGGACCATTCAAAGTGATTGTACTTCGCGAACACAATCTTTGTACAATTCAGAGTCTGAACGATCCCAGGGAACGGAGGACCGTTCACATAGAACAGTTGAAACTCCCGATAGAGCCGGGTCAGTAACGTAAATAAGTAGTACATCCTCTTTTCTGTCTCCTACAAGCTATGGAAGGACGGTAGAAGGTTTATTTCAGTGTAGCTCTTTGTTTTTTTGCAGGAAAATGTTTAATTTTATTTGTTCTGTACTATGGCTGTATGGGAACGCCAAGGAAATTTATTTTGTTTGTTGTTTTGTTTTGTTATGTATTATATCAGTAACCCAGCGTTAGTTTATGAGGAGTGTTCATAAACTGGCGGGGGGGAGTTATGGTTAGATGTAAGTTGATATATTATTTAATACTATTCAACAGTTGTAAACAAACCGTAATGCTATATATATAGCATTACGGACAGAATAAAGTTAGTCTTATTTGAGCAGCCACGTGTTTTATTACGAACTTTTCTTTCTTTTTTTTATCTTTCTTTGTTCGAACTGACGTAAGTTATATATATATCTTATATATATATATATATATATATATATATATATATATATATATATATATATATATATATGTTAAGTGTTTGTTGTCATAATTAATTATTTTTAAGACGTTTTAAATCAGTTTATTAAAATTATAGTATTCGTATACATATGTACAAATATTTTAACTTATTAGGAAATTGATTTTTTTAGGCAATATATTAAATTTACTAATGTGGATTTTTTTTTTATGTTTTAACTTCTTTTAGGTTTTAACATTTTAATTTTTTAACTGATTTTTATGCAATTTTTTTTTTAGATTTTAACTGTTTAACATGTTATCAATTTTATATTGTAACTTATTTTTAGTTAATTATTTTTTTTAGATTTTAACTTATTTTTAGGCAATTATTGTTTTAGAATTTAACTTTTAACTTTTTATTGATTTTATATTGCATGTTACTTCATTGCAGTTTATTTTATAGATTTAGACTTTTTAACATATTTATTTATTTATACAATTCACACTCTGTTAAATAGATTATTTCAATCATGCGCGTGGTGGACATAGTCTCGAATAAACGAATAATAATGCAATGATCAAAAGACCAATGAAAAAGATCAAGGTTGGTCAAAAGGAATGGGTTCTGAGAACTGGAGGACCTGTTCAAGAGGCGGTTGTTGTCTGTGCTACTGCAGGAGGCGGCGAAAATAAATTTGTTAAAGTAGAATGGCCCGACACAGAAGGTGTGGAATTGGGAAAGACTGTGTCGATAGATGATGTCTTTTCCAGATTGCCAAATGGTCCGAAGTATTTTGCATTGAAGCACACAGTGTATAGCAGGACGAAGTTCTACTCCTTGATGATAAAATTTGTCACATATGTGGGCTTTCTTTTAAGGGCGAAAGAGGTCTCGGAATCCATTTTGTAAAAAAACATCCCAGGGAGGCGAAAAACAATACACTGAGGAGCATAGTGAAGAATGTAATAGGTCCTAAAAATGGAGAGGGTGGGTTATCAAAAATAAGAGAGGACATTATTGCATAGTTTGCTACGTTCAAGAACTGCTCAAGACAAAATATGGTAAAAATTGCCGATTTTGATGAGAACGTAGGCAAGTTCCTAAAGTTTGTCAAAGTTATCAATGCGGAACTGCCAGATCCCTAGTTAGCACCCAGCTGTCAAATTTTATAGAATGAGAAAAAAAAATGAAAATGATAATAAATAATTCCGCAGAGAGCGAAAAAAGTGGAAAAGTTTCGTCGACAAGAACAATACCAGTATGAGATTGAACAACACAATCACTATAATGTAAGGAAAAAGGTTGTGCAAACTATATGAATACCGATGCTACTAAGCGGTGTCCTCTAAAGATGGTTAAAATCGAAAACCATTATAAAGACCTATCCGAAAGCAAACATTTCTGCTTGATTACGAACAGTGTGCCCCGGTGCCTAATTTGGTGTCCATGGAGCTAAAACCTGTCAAAAAAGCCATTAAATCGACATTAATGGACACATCGCCGATACCTGATGGAGTTCTGATACGCACAATGAAATATTTTGACATTATCAAGTAGGTGAAGGTGGCTTATTTCCTAGAAACACTTCGACAGGGACGCACTACATTAATAAATAAGGACAAAGGTAATTTAAACAACATTTATACTTGGAGACTTATCGCCATCTATTCTATTGTGAGCCGAATCATAGAGAAGGTTTTGGACTACGAATTAAGAACACAGACCACCTTCCATAGGAATCAAAGAGGCTTTATAAAAGACCTCCGGCGAAAACAAGTCAACTCAAGGATTATCAACGCAATATTGAAAGATGTACAAAGAACGAAAAATGATAGCGCGTAGTTTTGACAATGTTGGCCATAATCACTTCGTGAGCTCCTTAGAAGCAAGAGGTATGCTCCTTAAACATGCAACTAGCCAAATCAAAGTGCTGCGCAAAGTACCCCAGGGCGATCCCTTGTCTTCTTCGCTCTTCAACCTGGCCATCGACCATCTTTACTGCGACCTGTGCGACGAAGAATTTTCCAAGATATGAGGATATAATTTAAAAAATGACCAAGATTGTGTGGTCATCACAGGTTTCGCGGATGACAAGGCTGTGTCGGCGAGTGAGTGACAAGGGGGCTGCGGAAAGTGTGATTGAGAGCGTAAATAATACATTTAAAGAAATTAGTTTGGCTATAAATCCTCAAAAAAGCGTGGGCATGGTTTTAAACAAAGGAGAGCTAGAGACTGTTATGCTCTCCCTCGAGAACGGAGAGTATATCCAAACATTGAAGAATGGAGATACGTTTAAGTATCTATTGACTTGACCAAAAATCTTGCTTACTAAAACCGGAGCAGAAGCTTAAAATTGTCAATCAATATCTGTTCTCGGGTCTTACTTACCCTATCCAAACTGCGACCCTCACAAAGCTGCGTCCTGCCCTATTGGACGGCATAGACACCATGATTCGCAGGAGCGTAAATTATTATTATTCAATGCGAATGCCTCCACGGCGATGTTATATGCCCCAGGAGATATTGAGGATTGGGATAAACCGCTGCCAATGGGAGGCTCCTGTTAAACATTGGTCCATTTTCAGCGACTGCCCAATGTACCAGTTGCCTTTTTCCATTTAGCTTTCAATTATTCGGCTGAAGTTGCTGAATCTGCCGAGAGATTGGGGCTTGATCAGGGTTATCGAATTATAAGAGCACTACGGCAGTCACTAGAAAATACATTTGAGGAATGGGCCAACTGCAACTGGCAGGGCATTGGTGTTCGCCATTTTAAAGAGACTGCGAAAGCAAATAAATATATGTATGAAAAGCAAGTCCTTTCTGGGTCTGAATGGTCGAATGCCCTGAAAGTAAACATTAATTATGCACTCCTGCTTGGATACCCTTTGTCGTAAATGCGGCAGCGAGTCTGAAACACCAGCCCATGTGCTGGAAAAAGCCCCAACAACTCCCTCCTCATAACATGTTCGCACCGTAGGGTCAAGTTCGAGTTGATGATGCTCCATAGGGAAAGAGAATTCATCTGCTTTGATGAGGTCTACTGCATCGATAGTGAAGGCTCTACGAGATATACTGATATTGTAACATACTCCAAGATAAGAAGGACAGCGCTGATCTTGAATTCAACAGTCCGCTTTCAGAGCAATGACCTCGAAGGTGAAGTGGAAAGGGAAAAGAAGAAAACGTACGATAAATGCATGAGATTGGGGAGAAAAAGAGTTCACCATGACAGGCCTCTGGGTTTGGGTCTCGAGGAACTATTCGAGGTTGGCTGAAAATATAGTCTTTGACTTCGTAGGAATCATTCACAACCACGTGCATGGGTAGGATGAGAGTTTTAATTTATGCATTTATTGAAAAATCTTTAGTATTAAATTGTATTTATTCCTTGATGTCGCTCAGACTCCATTGGTCATTAATAGCAATGACACGACTGAGAAAGAGACGCTGAGATCTCCCATGAGATTTTACTTTTACGTGGGGAGGGAGGAGGGGAGTACATAATTGTGACAAAATATAACATTACCCAATAAAGAAATGTTAAATTATTAGTAGTTTACTATGAGGTAATTTTTAATTACTTAAATTAAATATTTTTTAATTGTCGGTTACTATTCAACATAAAAACGTGACTTACATAAAAATAACATAAAACTTTAATTTCCAGTTATTTTGCTGAAAATCGAACCATGGTGATATCAACGTTATTGTAGCTCTTGTGGTTTACCTCACCTCTTTAAAACTTTCCTTTAATTACAGGACACCCAGTATATGATGCTACATCTCAAGTATATTGAGCCGAACTCTAAACTGTAGCATGCAAATAATTTTAATAGTATTTCAAAATTAAAAAGATATGAAACATTAAAGGTCAACAATGATGTAAACACTTGATTAATAAAATATTTTGTTAAAAAAAGTACCTCATAATAGGATAGAATGACTCGGTTGAGAAGCGTTGAAATGGCATAAAAGATGCCTACGTTTATTCCATAAGAAAGTAGAAGTAAAATATATCCCATATTAGTGGCCAATCGCTTCAGCGAACCTAGAAAGTCCTGCTCTCTTTCTGACTGCTTCAAGGCTGCTAGGCTAGGAGGCAGGGGAGGTTTCTCCTCATAAACTAAAACATTAATTTCCTAATGTTAACATCAGTACATATACACAAACGACATTCAATAAACTACATATATAAGCTAAGGCTCGTGGAATAGCTGTACAATACAGAGCAAATTCAAGTATGACCACCCGGCGAGGTCTTTGCGAAATATAGTTAAGGTTGTGGAAGAGTGAAGACAAAGTTGTAATATATTAGTTTGTTATTATTACACTTACTTACAAGGGGATGCTACAGTCCTTGTGTCACCAATTTCAACTATTTTTTTTTTTTTTATACTTCATCGAAAAATATTGGACACTTGGACCGACGTTCTTTCTAATGGACCCTATGAGCCAAATAAATATATTTTATATAATTTCAAACACAATTTATGTTATTTAATTTTGTCTTTGCTTTGCCCAGATTTTTAGGTTACAATATATTAATCGTTGTATAGAAACCGTAATCGTTGCAAATATATGCGAATTTTGGAACAGATTCTCCAAGGACGCGACGGTACCATGTCTTATTTCGATTATATCGTCGTCCATGGCAAGACAATAGAAGAATGTTGAAACCACATACAATATTATTTGGATCGTTTAAGAAAATACGACCTTAACTTGAACATAAGCAAGTGCGAATTTAAAAAAAAATAAATTAAACTCCTTGGATATACCATTAGAAAAAATTAAATCATCGGATAAAATCACTGCTGTTGTGGAAATGGCCCATCCAACAAGCGCTGATGACGTTCGCCGCTTCCTTGGACTAATAATACATTACTCTCGTTTCATTCCAGGTTGTTCGACATTAATCTGAGGAATTAACAACCACTGAGGAAAATTATCCAACAATATTTAAAATTTTATCAGTCGCCACAATGTGATGCCGCATTTCTGAGATTGAAAAATGAAATTTCAAAGTTCTCACACCTTTCGATCCTCAACTCCCAATAAACTTTTTTATTTTTTCCTTTTTTATTGGATCATCCTCTAACCACGATTTCTGGTAAACGGGGGAGGGGAAGGGGTGTTCAAGAGGTAAAACCAAACCTATTCTAACCAGAGTGGGATGATCGAGTTACATTCCGTGGTTCCCTCACAAAACAAACTCAACTCTCAGTCTACTCTTCCTAGGCCGAATTCGAACCGGCGTCGCTAGGCGCGAAAAAGGTATAACAAGAAGCACTGCAAAACTTTCGGTCATCACAACTTCAACTCCCAACAATCATCACATGTTATGCAAGTGCCACCGGGTTCGCCGTTGTGCTCTCACCACCGCTGTGCAGTCAACTGGAAACTCTTCCATCAAATCCTTTCTGATCAAATTGACCTCAGAATAACCTTGAAAACCTCAGAAGGTCTTGACAATGCTGTACATTCCTTTACCACTACCATTCAACAAGCAACCTGGACTGCTTCCTCTCCTATTCATTCCCCAAGAATTCCAAAGAAAAATAAATTACCTCAATACATCATCGACCTAATCCATACCAAACGCCTTGACAGGTTATTATGGCAATGTACCAGACATGCCACCGATCGCCGTTCCAATAAACAACTAAAGTAAGAGTTACTAAACTTTAACTCCTACCTTGCCTCCCTCTCCACTCACGACAATTCCCTCTAGAATATCACCAGAAAAATAGTAAAATCCCATAATGTTTTCATCCCCTCCGTCGAGGTGATGGCTTTTTTCATTTTTTGTATATATGCATATTAATTTACTTATTTTATTTTTCTATATTTCTTTTTCTTTATTATCTCTATCTTAGTTATTGTTTGTATATAAATATTGTGTCAATGATTAATGTAGCCCTAATATTAATGTCTTTCAATGTGGCAGAATGTATTAATACTAAACTATAAAAAACAAAAAAAATATATATCTCTTTGGTCTTCGACATTATCTCATAATTTTTTTCTGAATTCCATTAGAACCTTACATATCATGCAAATCCACTTGCGCAATCCTAGCTCCACCCATCCCCATAATCCTGCTTTTGAAGTTTAAAGTGGCAGTGGTTCAGAGACCTTTTGTTATAAACATACATAGGAGTCCTGGCAATGGCCTGATTCTCCCCTCAAGCCATAAAACGGATAGCTTAAAAATTACAAAATGTATATAATTCTGTTGTCAATGACTTAATAATCATTAAAAGAAAGAAACTTACAATAATGATTTCAACGATCGGAAATGTTATAAAAACTAATTAAACTTCAAAAATGTATTTTCTACTATGAACATCAATTTCATGCTTTGGATCAATTTTTAAGTGGAAATGGAATAAATGTAATCTCATAAATATCTTCGTAACCATTGATTTTATTAACACAATTTATAGGATCATTTGTATGGAGATTTGAAAGTAATTTAATATTGTGTTGAACAATATTAAGTTAAAAAGAAATGTATGTAAAAAAATGTTATTTATTTGATGTCATATTTTTGATTATGTATTATCGGATTTTATGAATATGAAGACTAATTCTATACTTTTTTTTTATTTTTATTTTTATTTATTATATTTAGAACTGTATTAATATAAATACATCAAGTAAATGTGTACACAGAAATATGATCTCATGAAAACGCTTGTTGAGAAACTACCCACTGGTAACACTCTAATAAATGTCTACAAAAGGAGATCACGCGGCCATCTTCTTTTCAGACGCCTCGGAGGATTATCAGGAATTGAAGAGGAAGCAAGGTTAGAAACAAGATGATTCGGATGGTTATGAAGTTTATTATGGAAGGATAGGTATCTGGATTGGGCCAAATCGGAAACGTATAGAACATTAAGGTCTTATAATTTTATTCTCATCTTTAAGGATTGTTGCTAATTCTGTTTTAATAAAAAATTATCAAAATGTGATGTAAAATATGGCATATTGTTATGTAACTATTTCAATGTTGACTTTTCGGTAGCGCTTTCTTTGTGTTGAAATAGGAGTGAGTAAGTGTAGTGTGTCTTATTCTCAATCGGGTCTGTATTATGTCCTCTCTACGACACTTGCGGCTAGAAGTGCCGAGCGATTTATATCTCTTTTTATAATTCACTTAATTCTGATGGACCTCTCCCATCACCTACTCCCGTTACCTACACATGATATCCTACAGTCCACCGCTATCGTGATAAAAACCTTTTCCTTTCCGGTTACCCTTGCATCAGCGTATTGCCCTCCTAACCGATCCATATCCAATGCCCAATTCTGTTCTCTCCTCGACTCCTTAGGACATCACTTCATCTTGGGTGCAGACCTAAATGCCAAACATCAACAATGGGGTTCCAGAACCACGAATACTCGTGGCCGAACCCTGCTGTCTGCACTCAATTCCCAACATTTTCACCTCCTTTCCCCCAACTCTCCTACCTACTGGCCTACAGATCCCAACCGTAATCCTGATCTTCTTGATTTCTTTATCCACAGCGGCTTAAGTCCCCTCAATTGTTCCATTACACGTCTAAATGAACTTTCCTCTGACCATAGTCCTCTAATCCTTAATGTTTCACTTGAACCCGTTCCCAAACCTTCTCCACCGTCATTTATTAGGGGCCCAGTTAACTGGGACCTTTTCCGCCAAATCATCTCCGATAAAATTGATCTTAACATATCCCTCAAAACTCCCGATGACCTTGATAGTGCCGTAAATTCCTTTACTACCACAATCCAACAAGCCGCCTGGACTGCCTCCTTCCCAAAAGACTCCTCCAGAATTCCTAAAAAGACCATTCTATCCCAACACCTCCTTGACCTAATCCAAACCAAACGCCGTGCCAGATTATTGTGGCAACGTACCCGACATCCTACCGACCGCTGCTCATATAATTATTACTGCAAAAAATTAAAACTGGAATTAGCCACCTTCAGATCACATTCCTTCAACTCCTACCTATCCTCCCTTTCTTCTCGCGACAATTCCCTTTGGAAAACCACTACCAAAATCTTAAATCCTCACCGCATTTCCCATCCCCTCCGACGAGATGATGGCTCCTGGGCAGCATCTGACGAAGATAAGGCTGAGGAGTTCGCCATTCACCTATCCAATACATTTATTTCACATCCGGAATCCCATCCTGCCCACACCGTAACAGTAGAAGTACTCCTTACATCACCAATCCCACTTTCCTTGCCCCCAAAAGCTATTCATCCTTCCGAAGTGAAATTTCAATTAAAAAAATTAATCCCCCGTAAAGCTCCTGGACATGATCTCCTTACCCCTCAAATCCTTCGACAACTTCCATCCAAAGCAGTCATATTTCTTACATATATCTACAATTGTATCCTACGCACCACCCACTTTCCTCTGCTATGGAAACACTCCACTATTATCCTTTTCCAAAAACCAGGCAAACCTCCCAATATCTCAACATCCTATAGACCAATTAGCCTACTCCCAATCCTTTCAAAAATTTTTGAAAAGATCCTTTTGAAACGAATCCTACCCATTATAGAATCCCAAAATATTCCTTCCCATCAGTTTGGTTTTCGCTCCCAACATTCTACTGTTCAACAAGGACTCCGAGTTGTTGATCATATTTCCTCAGCCCTAGAAAACAAGGAATACTGTTCGGGTGCATTTCTGGACATTGCACAGGCATTTGACCGGGTATGGCATTCCGGACTGCTCTTCAAGCTTAAAATCCATTTACCTCAGTCCTTGTACCTAGTCCTCCGATCCTACCTCTCTGACCGCTCCTTCCGAGTTCGCTGTGGAACAGAATTTTCCAATATCTACTCCGTTAAAGCCGGTGTTCCCCAAGGCAGCGTCTTGGGTCCCGTGCTTTACATCCTCTTTACTGCTGACATCCCTGTTCATCCCGATACTTTTCTTGCAACATTCGCTGACGACACCGCAATCTTATCATCCAACTCTGATCCCAACATAGCATCCTTAAATCTCCAAAACCACCTCACCTTGATTGAGCACTGGTGTAATAACTGGCGCATTAAAGTTAATGAATCTAAATGCCAACATATTACCTTTACACTCCGACGCAGTTCCTGTCCACCAGTACACTTTAATTCCATCCAGCTTCCTTACTCAGACACAGTCCGGTATCTTGGCTTTCATTTAGACCGAAGACTAACGTGGAACCCACATACTAGACTCAAAAGACAAGAACTCAACCGACGATACGGCCAGCTATACAGACTACTAAACAGAAAATCCAAACTTTCTATTGAAAACAAATTACTTATCTACAAGACAATACTGAAACCTATATGGACATACGGACTTGAACTGTGGGGGACAGCAAAAGCTTCTAACATCAAACGTATTCAATCCTTTCAATCTAAAGTCCTTCGAATAATAGTTGATGCTCCGTACTATGTAAATAACAAAATCCTACACCATGACCTTAATATCCCATTTGTCCTAGACCTTATTCCAGAAAAAATCTCCAAATTTCACCAGAACCTTACCTATCATCCAAATCCCCTTGCACAATCTCTATCCAGCACCACCCATCCTTACAATCCTCCTCGAAGGTTGAAGCGGCAGTGGCCCAGAGACCTTTTGTAAATAAGCATCTATTGGAGTTTTGGCAATGGTCAGATCCTCCACTCAAGCCCGAGTGTGTATGATTAGGTTAGTTCTTTTGTTTATATACATTTATTTTATTTTATTGTATTTATTTTTATTTTATTTTATTGTATTTATTATTATTAAGTTTCTGTATTATTATTTTTTTTTTTTTATTGTAAATAGAGTGTGAGTGTGCTTTCTCTGATCACTATTATAAATGTCCTTGATGTGACAGAATGTAATATTTCTAAATAAAGAAATAAAAAAAAAAAATTCTGATGGAATTAGAGCTGCTTTTGGTGGCTCGTTTAGCCAGTTTGCTTTCTACGATTCCAACGTGGCTTGGGACCAATACAAACTTAACTGTCTTTTCTAGATTTTATAAAGGGGTTACATAGGAGTGGGTGTTGGAAATTTTCGGATGTTTCGGATATATATACAATCAAGGTCCTGTAATGATCTTATAGAATCTGTTATTTGTATGTTGTTTTGGTATAATAAAGTACAGAAATGAAGAGCTGCTGTTATTGCATTAAGTTTCATACCAAAGTTTATGAAGCTTGATTTTATAGATTGGATCTTTCGAAGAAGATATTTTAATGTTCGTTAGACAAGTATTATGTCGCTTCCTATTATCAGTGTACCGTTCCCTCAATCTGGAGGGCCAGTGTGTGTGACTGCGGTACAACATCAAGCGATGAAGACGACGCCTCCCTACGTCAATATCACAGATAAGAAGCAATCATGATTAGAAAATAATAGGGCAACTAGTTGCAAAGAAGCCATAAAAAAGCAGAAAAAAACTGGTTTTAGGAACTGTTTTGAAAAATAATATGGACCTGTCAAGATTCTTGAGGCATTTAAATCATTCATATTAGAATATAAAAATGCTTAAGTGCTACTTCCTGAATTGAAATGAAAAAAATCTGGTGTGTTGCACGCATCACACAACTTTCACTTACCACCCTCTTCTTAGCAGAAATAAGTATTTTCAGACAAAGGGGAAGTGAACGTAAAAATTATAGATGCTATATTTACTTACATTTCATTGTGGGTATTTTCATTTGTTTAAGTACCCTTATATATACAAATTTTAATTTTTATTTCGCTGTAATCATTATTTAATATTAAATTAAATAATGAGGTAATATTAAATAATACCAAAGATAGAATTTATGAAAACCTTATATTTATAAGTTCATAATATTAGCGGATTTCGTATTATCTTAAGCTCACGTTACGTATGGAAACCTGTTCTAATGTTTCGGGCGAGTTGGGCGCGCTCGTATTCCTTCGGTTACTCCATTACAACTATTATCCGTTACAATCTTCTATTTCTCCTTCAGTAAATTATCATTTGTTTTCATATTTTACATTTAACTATTTTTCATATCAGAGATTAATGTGAAATGGTTAATTGTTTCAAATAAAAAATAAATAAAGGTACTTTAGGGGGAGCTAATATTGAAAATTAGCAATTTAAATCCTATCAGAGAAAATCAACGAGAATGAGAATAAAACTTATATAATATTAAATGATGCTTAATTTTACACTGACATAATGAATTTATTCAAAATCGTTCGAGCAGTTTTCTAGAGAATCGTAATAATGTGTTTAATTGGTGAAATAAAGTGCCATTTCTTTCTTGAGCTAGACTGTTAACACACACACACAGACCATTTTATGGGACTTAGTTATTTGGACTCAGGGAACTTCAAAAAGTGTATTTCCGTTGAAAACTGAGATTCGAAAATTTTCACGATCGCAATGCTTTCCTTAACTATATATTTCATATATAGGTAAATGGAAGTAAAAATTACAGCTAATTCAGTAAACCAGAGTATTTTCCATAACAAAGTGAGCACAAGAATATGAGTTTCAAGGGTTTCTAAAATACTCTTATAATTTTGTTTGTTTAGTAAATTAGTGAAATGAATCGCGCTCAATCAACAATAAAAAATTATGTTGGAACTGCTACCTCTAAGAATATACACATAGAAGTAGGTCTAGTATGTTTAAACAATATATAAATACATATACTTACAAATGGCTATGAGGATAAGCAACATCGATGTAAATGCAGCTACACCTTTGAACATGAGGCCAAGTCTGTTACCTATCTGGTCTGTTTCCTCCTCATTTGCAACTATCATTGGTGGGAGAACAAAACCGACTGCGATACCGAGCTATTGAAAAAAAAGAAGAAAAATGCTTACTATCACTTCAGTAATGATACTGATTCTAGCTTATGCAAAACTTAAAAATTCAGTTGCTCAATGCAGCATCAGTCAATATTAAAATCTCTTTGCTCAATGCAGCATCAGTCAATATTAAAATCTCTAAGTATTGCTAACAAGACTTTTAAAATAAATAGGAAACATTCAAGGTAAATAATTGCAAAAATTAGAATCCTTCAGTGAACTCCAAAGGTTCATGCCAAAGACTTCATGTCATCAGAATTGCATATTTAGCACGACAAACGAGATTTTGTTTTAAGATTGCGATAAAAGTTAAGATTAGCTGATATTCGCATAGTAACAGCTACCGGCTGGATACATACCAGTACCCTGATCTTGAAAGGATTAAATTAAAGGTTAAATTCTTTCAGCTTTGAAGGAGTGTCAGCTTTATTCCAGATAAATCAGTTGTTTTCTCTCTTCAAGAGAAAGGTGTTAAAACAGGTTCCTAAACTCAGCATTGAGCTAATCGACGTGTACGTTTCGCCCAGTTCAGAGGTGGATTCAATGCCATTTATGATATCAGCACTAAATTTAGCTACTTGTTCTTACTGTTTGAATTTTCATGTCCTATTATGACAACTTCCCAAGAAGTGAATAAAATTGTTGAAGTGGAAGCTATAAAATCTAATATTAATTATTATTATTTCTTCAATCCATTGGCTCCTAATGGTCAATTTAATAGAGAGAATCTTCTTGTTTTTTGTTATGATTTCGTTTTTTCAGTCATACTATTGCTATAAAAATGTTTTTTTTTTTAACCCAGATATTAAGACCATGTATTCTTCATTTCCTCTTCTTTTCAATTAAGTCTTTGAACATAGAATGATAATTTTCTAATCAAAATATTTTAAATGATAGATGACTAGGTTTAGCCAACAGAAATTAATTTAGAAATGTCTTTGGTAATTTTAATGCAGAATAGGTCGCTGATTGGTCCAGCGAACATTCAAGAATCTAGACCTCAACCACAGCCAAGTACATCTTCACAAGAAATGGCCTCTGAATCTCCTTTTTTTATACCCAAACCATATCAGGTGTTCCAAAATGGCAGAGTAGAGATGGAGTCTGTACCGATATCTAAAGAACCACGTACTTCTCTAATCTTTAAAAATATTTTTAAAAAACGATATAAATCGAATTGAATATACCAGTGTAAAGGTTGAAAAACAATACCCTTTCCCCCCCCCCAAAAAAAAAAAAACGTCCAGTGCCACAATTGTCAGGCATACGGGGCCACACTAACTCTTATTGCCACCAATTGCCGAACTGCGTGAAATGCGGCGAGCCACACAATTCTGACAAATGTACCGAACCAATGCAGTCTGCGCTCTATGCTTGGAAGGTCATCCGCCTAACTTTAAAGGTTGCCAAATTTACAAAAAGCTCAAAGTTAGATAGCTGTTTTTATGCGCTAGCACTTTTATAATAACCTACATACAACGCCAAGCATCAACAATGAGGTTCAAGAACCACGAATTTTTACGGTCGAACATTGCTGCCTGCACTCAACTCCTAAAGTTTTACACTGCTTCCACTCAATTCACTTACCTGCTGGTCCACTGATCCTAACCGTGATCCCGATATCCTCAATTTATTTATCCACAAAGGTTTAGGTATACTCAACTATTCCCTTGCACGTTTTGATGAGCTTTCCTCAGGCCACAGCCCAATTAATAATCCAAGTATCACTAGCTCTTATTCCTTAAACCCTCTCTACCATCCTTCATCAGAGGCCCATTTAACTGAAAACACTTTTGTAAAATCCTTTCCGATAAAATTGATCTCAAGGCAACCCTGAAAACCCCCGGAGATCTTGACAATGCCGTTCATTCCTTTATCACTAAAATTAAGGAAGCAGTCTGGACTGCTTTCTCTCCTGAGCATTCCTCAAAAACCCTTAAGAAACATTATTTAACTCAACACCTCCTTCATCTAATCCATACTAAACGTCGTGCTACATTATTATGGCAACGTACCAGACAAGCTGCCGACCACCACTCCTACAATTATTACCGTAAAACATTGCAACAAGAATTAGCCTCCTTCAGATCCCGATCATTTAACTCCTACCTCACCTCCCTCTCTGCTCATGATGATTCCCTTTGGAATATCACCAAAAAGAAAAACAAAACGTAAAAACCCATAATATTTCCCATCCCCTCCGTCGAGGTGATGGCTCCTGGACGGCATCTGATGTAGCCAAAAATCTTTCCTATACTTTCACTCCTCATCCGGAATCTCATCCCACCCACAAGGCAAAAGTAGAAGAATTATTTTCTGCACCTATTCCACTCTTCTTACCACCTTCTTAAAACAGTTAATCCCTCTGAGGTCAAATAACTTTTATGCAAAATCTTCTTCTTCTTCTTTCTCTTCCACCCATTTACCTCTCAGCGTGGGGGGTGATGGAGCCTTCCACTTCCAGCCTTCGGTTCCATGCATCCCTGTTCCCGACTAGATTCGTCATCTCTTCCAGGGTCTTCCCTCTTCGTATTCCAATTCGTTTCAAATGGGGTGGGGTGGCCAAATGGGCTAACGCGTAGTGCACAGCACCACCGTTGCCCGTCAACCTGATATATGATAAATGATACAAAAATAGTCATGAGTTCGCGTCCCGGTGCCAAGGCGTCTTTTAAATCACCGCCCACATCCTCTAGCCCGAGAAAACCCCGAACAGCCTTAACGGTGAGGAAGGGGAGGACCCAAAAAAATAATAATAAAAAAAAAAATCGTTCCAAATGACTAGCGTATGAGGTTCTTGGCCGCTTTCTCGGTTTTCTCCCCATCAGCCTCACCTCTAAGGTTTTAACTGGGTCTCTGTGGTGGTCCATCCGGCAGACATGCCCGTACCACTTCAGCTGTCTCCTCTCCAGAGTTTCCAGCACGGGGCGTATCTTTAGCTCCTCCCTGATCCTGTCATTTCGGACACAGTCTCTCCGCGTTTTCCCCACAATTCTTCTAAGAAACTTCATCTCAGTGGCAGTAACACGGCTTTGTAACCTCTCATTCAGGATCCAACCCTCTGCTCCATAAAGAAGTACCGGTAGAAAGACAGACTTGAACAGATGGAGCTTCACATCCTGTCCCACTTCTTTTTTTCCGATTACAGTATTGCATATTATATAGTAGACGGAATTTGCTTTTGATATCCTGCTTGAGACTTCCGAATCTACTTTTCCCGACCTATTGATTACCGTACCCAGATAGGTAAAGTCTGTCACCACCTCCATCACCTCTTCATTACAGACAATCCGGATATCCTCTCGAGTTCTGCCGACTTGAAGAATTTTGCTTTTTTGGGAATTGATGGTCATTCCTTCCTTTTCAATTCTTCATTCCACTCTGCTACTGCCTGCTGAAGTCGCTCGGGGGAATCTGCAATTATAACGATGTCATCTGCAAATAGGAGAAACTGTACAACTACAGGAAGCAAGTTCCAATAGCCCATGTGCATTCGTGCTGTGCGCCTTTTGCAGATGGAGGCGATCTCATCCATATAGACAATGAAGAGAAGGGGGTTTAGGGAATCGCCTTGTTTCACTCCTTTTTCAAGACTAAATATTCTGACTTCTTTTCCATTCAGGCGTACATCACCTTTCGGCTCTTGATATGTCGATTTTATAGCCTTTAAAAGGTTTATTGGGATGTTTTTTGCCTTCAAGGTTCCCTATTTCATTCCGGGGAACCGAATCGAAATGCTACCTTCAATTCTAAGAAGGCGAGATAAATATTTCAGTCTCGGTCCAAGGACATCTATATCACATTTCTCAAAGTAAAGATGTGATCATTTGTTTGCCTGTTGCCTAAAAGCACTTTGCTCTTCCAGGAGACCAGGTTCCACCAGTGGTCTTAATCGGTTCTCGAGGATGGAGGTATATAGTTTATAGAGAAATGGAGATAGGCAGATTGGTCTGTAATTAGAACAATCACTTTGACTTCCTTTCATATGTATGGGTATTATATCGTTGAATTTCCATTCCTTAGGGATTCTTTCACTGTCCCAAACTTTTTGTAAGAAGTTTTGAAGAGTTCCTAATAACTCTGGTCCACCATATTTAATCAATTCGTGGGACTATGTTGTCTCGGCCTGCTGCTTTTCATGTCTTCATCTTCGCAATAGCCTTCTCAACCTCCTCTTCTTCTATCGAATAGTTTCCTTGGTCATCTGGAAAGATTCTTCTTTCTACAAGAACATCGCTTGATTCCTTGTTGCCTTCAAACTGTCTTGAGTAGTACCTGCACCATACCTCCAGCACTTCTTTTTCCTCTGACACTCTCCCCTCTCATTCTTTATATTCCTAACTGGTTTTGGTTTTCTGCCTCTCAGAGCCTTGATTTTTTGCCAGAAGAGCTTAATACTCTCTCTATGATCAACATCAAGGGAGCGACCAAACCCTTCCCATGCTTTCCTCTTTGCTTCTCTTACAGCAACTTTTACTCTGTTCCTAACAACTTTGTAGTGTTCATATTTATCTCGGCTTCTTTCTATACAAAATATTTTCCACAAGATCTTCTTTTCCTTTACAACAACTCTAAGTTCTTCACTCCACCAGTCCGAACGTTTTCTTTTGACTGACACTTTCTTCACACCGCATGTTAGTCGTTGATTCTAATATGGCACACTGTTAACGTTTCCTTCCCGTGCTGAAAAGGTTATCTTATGAACCAGTTTATGAGGATAAAAGGAATTTCCTATTACAAGATCGTTGTCTATGCAAAGTTCCATTAGTCGCCTTCTATTGTTGCTCATCATTCTTTCACTTCCATGTGGCCCAATACATCCATGGGCTCTTCTGTGGTCACATCTAGTCTTTGCATTGAGATCTCCCATAATGATAGTGTTTCTACTTCGACTTTTTTCAATTATGCGTGCTAGGTCACTGTAGAATTGTTCTACATCCATCACACTAGAGCCCTCAGTTGGTGTATAGACTTGGACTAGTGTT